TAGGCGTAGTTTATTACAATATTAACTTTTACCAGTTAATATAATATAATATGTATGATTAATATTTGTATCAAATACACGTCTTATACAATATGCAAATAAAATTGTATTAAATATATTTATCATATATAAGTTTAGTTATAATCATACGCTTGAAATCCGTTGTGAACCCTCTATACATCTTAATGCGGCAGTTCTTTCGTCAATATGTTAGTGGCGATTTAAATAAGTAACAACTTTAGAAAATTAAGCCAGTATTATATTTTGATAAGTCAAATCTGTTTATAGTGAATTTCTCTTCACAGAGTTTGAAAAATATCAACATGGAATAAATCAAATCCACTAACACGAAGAGTTTATTTTGATGTATAGTTATGCAAAGATAACGTTTTTGACTAGACAGGCAAGACACATAGGTACATGGATTTGAGTTTTTTTTGATTAACCTTCGGGAATATTTAATATACTTACAGTTTTAAATATTATGAAAGCGTAAAAGGTCATCTGACAAGTTATTATTAAATTGAAATAATAAATATCAAGTAAAAAATGAACGTAAACAATTAAAAATAAAATAAAATAAAAACAGCTTTATTAATTTAAAATCCCGAGTATAACAAGTCTCGGAAGACCCTTTTCTTTTTTTGTACGTGTTTTATAGAGTTATGCGAAATGGCGTCTATTATTCTGCAATCTAAATTATATATATATATATATATATATGTATTAAAAAATAAATCTTGGAAGTTTTAAAAAGAAAATAATACATTTTAGAAATAAATAATATCTTAAGTACAAAACACACAATTGCAGTATGTACATTGTACATGTATAATATATTTATTATATAAAACAATCACAAAATTATTAATTCGGGAACCCACGGTAAACAATAATCATAAAATATTCTAGCAATAATAGTTCATGGAGTTATCATTGCAAAATATGAACCCATCGACATCTAGATATACGTATTGATCAGATATTAACGATTTAAACGAAAAGTGTACAATAAGGGCATAGTGCGTGTTTTATAGAGTTAAATAATAGTAATTATACTAAAAATATTATCAATGTATTTATATACCATTGATATTAATCAATAATCGTGAAGGACGGTCTCGAGAAATATTAATAATCGCCTAAAACGCAGCAACAAGTCGGGGTCTGAATAATGTTTTACAATCGCACATACGACATACCCTGCGGAGACAGGTCATTCACGTCTCCTTAAAGGATACCTATGTCTTATATAATATACACACCACACATACCCTCGTCTAAATATCAGTATTTATATATTTATATATATACACGCATTACGCACTCATTGTACTCGGTCTATACAGAGTGATTCGCCAAGTAAGCTTAACACATTTTTTTCTCTTCAACAATAATACAGTAATTAAATTTCCGAATTTCGAATTTTTAGAAAGACAATATTTTTAAGTTTTTGATTTTGTGTACTAATTAAGGAATGTCATGTATTAGAATTCTGTTTTTCAAATGAGGACTATCTCCCTTTTTCTACTATAAATTAGTTAACAGATAATTTTCCTTAAAATGTTGATGTATTTAAATTAACATATATAACTTTGTATACCTAGGATAATTAGTAGATATGTGAAATGATATGGGAGTGATTGAGATTTGAAAACGTTAGTATTTAATATTAATCTATTAACAATTACAATTAGTAAACATGGTTCAAAGACAATAAATACTAGATCCAATATTACATCTATGTACTTTATATTCTTGTAAAATCATTTTGAAGACTACTATTTTTTGTATAAATAGTTTAATAATTGAGAAACTTATTTAAATTTTGCATTGGACACATTATAATTTTAAGTTAAATAATGAGTAGAGGATGGAAGTATTCATTTGAAGAACAGAAATTATCATGGACACTATTTAAGTAGTACAAAAATTTTAAGAATCTTAATCTAAATAAGTTCATTATTAGTGGGAAAAATGGGAGTGAGCACGCAGAGTGATCACTCTGTATACAGAGTATTTCAGACCAGCACGTACATCACATCGATCAATGTCCGACGTAAATACGTGTGAGGATGTGACAAGCACATGACAGAACTTCAACGTGAGTCTGTTGCGAATAATAATGCCCATCTACCAACGTTTAGATCGTGGACTTTGGAAAAATCCAGTCGATGCGTTCTTTTATATTATGCTCAAGCCATCGTTTGGATAATATTATAGGACGGTTCATATAAAATGCGTTCACTATAGATTTCTTATCGGACGCATGTTTTTGCACGACTGACCAGTATAAAATAAAGTTTTTTCCCATCACTCATAGTCCTTGCAATTGTCAATCATATTATATGTATAATAATATTACTGTGGCGTTTGTATGCTAATTCAGATATTTTCATTTTTTTTTTGACAGAAAATTCTTCTATTATTTTAATTTCAAAATTTCTATCAGGCACACATAACAGTATATTTCGATATTAGAATAATTAAAAGATTTATTTTCAGTTATTAATTATAGTATGTTAAAACTTGTAAGTTAACGTATTTATTTTTTTTATAAAAGATTATTTAAAATTTTTGTGAAGAATTACTCGTGTCTCGTGTGTAAAAATCTTTTATAAGATTATTTTATGCCTACTTAGATGCTTAAAACTATTAAGTTTATTTATTAGTTTTGAAGCGGATATATTTTTTTAAACTTTTAAAACTCAAAATGATCAATGTATTTTATATTTAACTGTGTTGATATAATTCCCAATTCACACAGCTCTAGTCATTATTTTATAAAAATACAAAGTGATATTTTCGTTATCATTCTCAAAAAAAAAAAAAAAACGGTTGTAGATAGCGACTCATTTATTTGATTAAGCACTTGAAGTTAAATATTACGATAGTACATATTTGACTAATTTACAAACAAATTTTAGTTGAAACATACTTACATACCTAATTAATTTAGTACGTTGACTGTGTTTTAAGTCTAATTGAAAGTTTCATAATTATAATTGTTTTTTTCCACATTAATCTTGTACCTCTATTTGGAAACTTTATATTTTAATTATTGCATAGGACAATCTAAGAATAATATATCTATATAAATTATTGAATATCACGTGGAGTCTTCTGTTGAATACATTGCATTGTATCTATATTAGCACACGCGATAACTAAAAACTATTTTTTGTTTAAACTATCAATTCGTTAATTTGCTTTGTTAGGTAAAGCTAGATTTAATCTATAATGTTAAGCACGTTTACAGATACTGTAGTTAGGTTGCATACAAATCGAGTCTAAAAACATTTAAACTTTTCTTTCCCGCACCGAACACAAGAGCAGTTGATCTGGGATTAGTGAAACAAATTGAATTAACAATTTTTTATTTTCTTTATTGCTTTATTTTTTAATTTATTTTTCAAATAAGTTTTGTTACTTTGTTTTTGAATATTTGACTTTATTTTTATTTTTTTGTTCATAATGACACCTTATTATGTAGGTAGGTATACTTGTAAAGTTATATTAATTAACCCGTATTGTGTGACACTATATATTAATTTATATTAATACATTATAAATTTCTTTTAAACGCAGATTTTTTTTTTCGTGTTTGATTGTATAAACCAATAAAATTATAAAGCTCAGTAGTATATTGTAAAATAATATTTGTACGTACCTACTATAACAATTTTCATATTTACATATATTAATGTTATACGTAATTCGTGGAAGTAGATTCGAACTAATTGTTATAAATCCCAAGTCTCAACTAGGACGTAAAATTTTAATACCCAGGATTTAACTGGTTATTTAATTTTAAAACCTTTAACTCATCTCTGGATTTTTTGTATTAATTTTATGGAATTCAATCCATGGCTGCCTTTATAAATAAATGACTGGGTAGTATTTTCGTTGCGGCTTTAAAGCGTTAAGTATTATTTTTAATAACGGTCATAATTGACCTTAACCCCATTAACGCATCGGTAATAAATCAGAAGGAGAATAGTTACAACTTCACTTTTACCTTGATCGAATCAAATTGAATGACATCTAAGTAATTAAATTTTGTATCTTGTGTTTTTTTTTTATGTTTTGTATGTGTTAATTGTTTTTTGAGTGTAAAGAGTTCTCCTTAATTTTTTCATAAAGTCTTTATTCATTAAACTAGTTTAAATATTTAACTGAAATTTATTGTTTCCCAAAAATTTGAAATATAAAAACGAAGTGAATATATTGCAGTGAATTTTATTACGAAGAAATCGATTTTATCTCATACTAAAATTCAGAGATTATGTTTTTGAATAGAATTTTGATAATTAATTTTAGGTTTAATTAAATACTCACAATTGTTTGTTTATTATGTTTCACGTGTTGCATAAAATTTTTATAATTTTTATAGCTATTTAAAGTTTTACTTATATAATTCATTACTTTTTTTAGATTGCAATATATTTTCTAATTGTATTTAGAGGAAGGATGTCTCCTCCATATATTTTTTTTGTTATTAATTTAATAATATGTAACCGGTTTAAATAACAAAAATATATTTTTAATTGTGGCACTTCGTGTGTTGTATATAAATTTATACTAAATTAATAAATAAGATTATATTATACTATCTATAAACAAATGGAAATTTTATAAACATCTTGATCTAATTTTGACTTTTAAAATTAAAAGCCGGGAAATATAGAATGTAAGGGAAACTTTGCCTATTCACCGTAATGTAGTGTATTTATAATTTTAAAAAGTACACATTCTTATATTATAATAATACTATTATTACCTTCTTGTATGTTTTAATATTAAGAATTTAATAACTCGTATTTTAGCCATTTTAAATTACACGTTATAACTTATTCATTTTAAAAATTATGACAGTAATTTGTTTGTATTAAAATGTATGAAATTCACAATATTATCTTGATAATAGTTCTAGTTATAAATAAAATTCACATTTAATTGGAAAATTAATCGTTTTAACTATATTTTTATTTATATTTTAGACTAAAACAGAATAATATAATCTTGGAACCACGCTTCAATTTCAAAAAGTCAAGATCATGTTGCATTGATCCTATTTTGTAAATTTTAAAATTCAGTGAACTTGCGAGATTAACCAGTAAACACCTTTACGCAGCTAACTGGGTAAGTCAAAGTAATCAAAATACACGCTTGGTATATTTTTATTATTTTTTGAGTTCTTTAAATTTCTTGATCTTACCTTACCTATAGAACATAACTACCGTGTGTGGTGGTTTCTTCACAAATGAATAATATTAAATTAGGAATTAGTATTGAAATAAAGATTACTAAATTTATTTGATAGCTAGATAGAATATTACCATTTCAATTAAAATAATGCACGAATGAAATATCGCGAACAAACGGGGTTTCGATCAAATATATCGATATACTTGATAATATGCGTTTGATCAATTTTTATGTTTAGAATTATTCATATCGATCATGTTCAATCAAATTGTTTCCTTTAATAAAAGATTGGATCATGAAATTTTTTATATACTTTATAATCGTATTTAAGATTTTTTTGTACTACTTAGGAGTATCCTTTGACGATATAAAACATGTGGATTTTTTTTCAAAAGACAGCATATTTTTACTTTCATTATTTTGATAAACATTTTTTTAAATATTTCAATGTATCATATTCAAAATCCGAACGGGTAGTTTTTCAGTTATTATTTAAAATTTCTAAACTAAGAATAAATGTCCTTGAAAGAGATTTTTGTAAAAATACAAATAGATATTTTATTGGATTTAGTATTTACTTTACTCTGGCCTTTTTTTTTTTTTTTTTTACAAATTATCATTGTTGATAGATTAATATTAATTAATAAAATGTTCAATTAATCATAACCTCCATATCTTCTGAATTCTCCTTATCATTATCATGATGAATCTATTATCTTTAGAACGAATATAAACAAATAATCAACACAAAAAGTACACGTTCGAATTTTAGTTTTGATATGTTAAAACATTTAGAATAAATAATGTGTTAAATAATTTATAGTTATAAAAAGGAAAAATGGGGCTTTCATTTGAAAATTAGAAGTTTGTAAATAAAAGTATTTTCATAGAACATTTTTTAAATACCTATATAGTACAAAAAATTCCAAAAATAAGATTTTGAATAAATGCATAACCAAAGAAAAAATGGTGGTGATCATCCTTGTTGGATTACCTTGCATATGCACAAATAGCAAGGTTATTATAGCTAGAGTTATAATTAAATAATTTAAAATGTTATTACATAAATTAATAAGAAACGAAATATAAAGAAATAATTAAGTCGGTTCAGTTAAAAAATTGTTAGTTGATATTATTATATAGTCCCAAAAGAATTTTCGAGTGTGGTTCTATATATATATATATATATATATATATATATCATAAGAAATATTGAGTTTGTTTTAATAATAAAAAAAGAAAACAATAGATAAATTAATTTCAAAGATTTTTCCATTTTAGTTTTAACGAGTCTTATACATCATTTATAATCATTATCTTTTCAAAAAAAAAAAAATTAATATTTAACAAAAGCAATTTCTATTTTTTATTCAACGGTATAAAATTAGTCAAATAGAAATTAATAGGCAATAACTACAGGTGTATATACATAATTTTTCAGTATAAAATCATTTTATTATGTTTATGAACATAAAAAAATATTAGGGATACTTAACAGACTGCAATATTTAAGTATTATACTTTACACAAATAACTACGTTATTAAAAAATATATATAAGTAAATATATTAATTGTAATACTATATATAATAATTAGTATCATAATATCATAATGTATTAAAGTGAAATGTATTTAATTATGAACTAGCATCACTAAGTTTTTGGTGCTGTTCAGCTGGTAAATAATTTAAACGTATATTTAATAAAAGGTAATAAGTAATATTAATTACTTAAATTAAGTTTTTCGTAAAAAATAAAACTTTAACAATGAGCTAATAAATTGTAAGACAATTGTGAGTATATCTATTATATTTACAAAGTGATTCTCTAAACACAAGACATTCATTATTTTAAAATATATTTTTTTTTTTTTTACACAGTCTGAATAGTTATTACAAGACAACATTTTTGAATGATATGTATTCATTTTTTATTTTTTATTTAATATACTCTGAAGCAGAAAAGTTTCTGAAAATGTCAATGCATAAAAATTGAATTTTGAATGATTACTTGTAGTTACTTTGTTATAGTTTTTAACGTTTTTAGATGGAATAAGTAGTAAATACAAATTTTGCGGGATATTTCGGTGCCTCAATGTCTCAGTCCACTCATTTAAACATTTAAATAAAAACTTTTACTTAACTAATCTATACATTTTTTGAAATTTGATTTTAATTTATTGATAGCTTTATAAAAATTTATATTTTGAAGTATGACATGAAAATTGGATATTTAAGTTTTAAAAAGAAAAAAATTAAAATATTATATCAGAATTTAAAATATAATTTATCTGCTAAATAATTTACATAAAAAGTTTTATTGTCAGAGGAAATTTTATATGTACCTAGTGCATACATTTTTAATTTCTTGAAAATGTATAGTTTGAGTATAATATTTGAAACTTTTAAAAATTATAGGTTGAAATAATTAATAATTATTTAATGAAAAATGAAAGTGTGCATTCTTGGTGAATCGATCTATATATAATATCAAATATTTCAGTGGTACTGTATTAGACGTAACATTTGTTTCTCAGTTGTCGATTGATTGTTATATTTGCAATATCTTGACCATGTACAAATTCTTCTTGTCCAATCCTTTCTGTGAGTTTCCGAGTCTTCGAGCTCACCTTTAGTTTGCATGACGCATTGATTTTATTGTTTGCCCCATTCATCTTTTATTCTCCCACTTTCTTCTCTTTAACTTGTTTTTTGAGGGGTTTTCATCAAATAGTTGTCGCAAACATAATTTATGACACATGACTCCCGGCGTCTTGTTTAATAATAATAACAGTTATAATATTCGGCGTATCTCGTTCGAATTACAAAGCGATGCTAATAACATTATAATATTATAGTATTGCAAACCGTAATATTGTGGAACAAATATTGAATTTTTTTTTCAAACATTCTAGACTTGAGTTTAGTGTGTGTATGTAATTACAACGATGTCTTTAAATAAGCTTAAATAACTTGTTTTCGACGAAATTGGCATTACCTTAAAGAATAAATCACACTTATATAAAACATGTAGATATACATAAAACGAAAAAAAACGTGTCTCGTCTTACTTGTATCGTGAGTAAACTTATATTATTACTTGCATTTTAATTCTCAATTTTTTTTTTAGTGATAATGTGAATTACGAAATAATACAAATTAATCTTATCACTCTTTCGAGTGGCGTGTATTAGGTGAGACTGTCAGAGGGTAGTGATGGATAGAACTCCCTTGTGGGAGTTGTATCTTAGATTATTATGTTATGTATTTATAATTGTATTTACAACAGCTATAATTATTGTTCAATTACTCGTAGAATTAAATATAAAAATATAAAATTAATATCATATTATTAAAAACTAATTAAAGAAATTGAACGTGAACGATTCTTGTCTTATCGATCCTATATTCGCGAATCATGAATACTATACAAGTTAACAGAATGGTCCTTAACGTCTTTATAAGATTTTTTTAATACTTAACGTTAGTCCACAATCTTAATCTTTTGTAAAGACGGTTCTTTACGAAAAATGGAAGAGACAGCAAAAATATTTTTCATGTATATATCGTACAATACAAGTGATGTGATACTACTGTGTAGATATGTACTAATTTTTTTTCACAAAAAGTACGCAAGAATGGAGACACTCATTATTTCAAAAACTATTATCGTTTTTAATAATATATTTTTTTTCTTTACATTACTTTGAGCAATAAAAAGTATATGTTTTCTGGTTATTAGTTTTAAATTAGTTATAAAAAAATTACTCTAATAATGTAAACTTTAATTCTTATAAGTTATAACTAATGAATTAATTGTCCAAAATTTAATTTTTATAAATTGAGATACTTTGAATAGTATGCCGTAGAATATGAAATAAGCAATTGATGTTGTTATTTAAAAGAGATAAAAATTTAAAAAAATATAAAATACATATTTTTATTTTTTGTTTGTTTTTTAATGATTTAAAATGATGAAAAAAAAACATACTTTCCAAGAGTCTAGCGTTTTATGAAATAATGAGTGTGTTACGTTAAAATATCACCCCGTCCACCTTGTTACTAATCTAAACTAACCATATTATATGAAAAAAAAAATGTATAATAAATGTTTTATGTTATGATAACTTCATGATTATCATAGTTACTATTGAAAAAATGTTCTGTGTTTTATATATCGTATAATATGTAATCTTAGATTGTTTTCTACATTATCGTGAACCATAATTTTGTTTTGCTTATGTATATACTTCGTTTTCAATCGTAATAAATGAGCGGTTATGTTGCGCGTGTTTCATTGCATAAATTACATTGATAATAATATTATTATTCTATATTAATTTGATCAAAAGGTTTATATTAAACAGTGGTTTGTGGCTCATCTACTATACTTGTTATACATATTTTTAATTTTATAAAGTTACAAAATAGTATTATTTAATACATTTTCTATATCGTTAATTCCGTAGAAAAAGTTTAAAAACAAATAATTTTTAATAACGGTATATAACATTAAGTTTGTTTGCATTGACATTTTAGAATCATTGCTTGTAGAAGTTTTCAAAATCATATACTCATCGGCAGATAAATATCAAAAATCAATTTTTATTAAGTACAAATTAACTATTTTTAATAGTAATTACTCATATCATATATTTTTCTCAAAAGCTATACGAGACAAGTGTGACCCTTTCGAATTTTAATCTGTTTATTTGCTTGCATGTATCTGGTTGCCGGATTTTTTTTTCAAAACCCTATATTTATGATGCACATTAAGTAAAGGTGTACATATTAATTCGTATTAAAACTTATCTTTTGAGTAAAAATATGTTGATTATATAAAAAAAAAGTAATTATTTACTGGCTTTTAAATACTTAAATTAATCTAAACGATTTTGCGTTTATCATTTAGATTTTAATATTAGATAAACTCAA